GTGGTGAGCATTGTGCACAAATTTAGATACGGTACCATTGGATAAATCATGGTACGGTAATTTACTGGTTATATACAGTCTTTATTTCATGACGAACTGCACACACACACACACACACACACACACACACACACACACACACACACGTCATTTAAATCGATTTTTTTTTATAGCAAATTGTGACGTGGAGTTTAGAATATATTACACAGAAAATCTTTTTACCCACAACTGCAGACACAATGAAAATTATCTTAGTTACCGTTACATACATACATACATACATACATACATACATACATACATACATACATACATACATACATACATACATACATACATACATACATACATACATACATACATACATACATACAACGCAGACGAAGAGTTGAGAAAAGCAGCAGTGAAGGTACGGATAGAAAGAAAGTGGGTGGCAGAAAAAGCAATTGAAGAGGCTGAATCCGGAATGAGACACGGTGATATGGTAGGCAACGTAGCAATAGTAAGGCAGGGGCAGTGATGTATGAAAAAACATACGTGGCCTGTCTGATTGCAGATCAGATCTCCACTGCCCTAAGTGAAGATCTGACGACGACAGCTTAAAGGTCATGTTCTGGTGAACTTATAATTAGACAATGGAAATGCAGCGTCCAAAAATCTGAAAGTTAATCAAATCGTTCATTACATATTCATGCTCTTGATTCACGCTGCTCAGTCTCCAAACGCGAAGATGATAATGACGATTTTTGGATGTAGGTGACTTTTGCTCCAAAGTAGAATGTGCCACTGGTTAATTCCTGCACCGCGAGATACTAATTATTTCTGGGAAACCACTTTCCCCAGGCTTTAATGCATTCAAGGAGGGCTGTTAATTTTAGCCGTCCGGTCGCGGCACAATAAGTTACATCAGGTCTGAATAATAGGCTATTATGAGTGGGATTCGAACCAGCACACACTAATGTTTTTTAGCCTTAATTGCAATGGGGTGAGTGGGAGCAGTACTGTCACTCACTCACCTATTTGGTCTGCTTGATGGTATTATTTGTGCGCGTATTGCACGCTGGTTTGGATGGATGGTGTCCTGTCGAGGAGGAGTAAAACCATTAGGAGGGGAAGCGCCAAGTCGCAGTGTCGTTGTTTCCAGGGTATCGACTGGCCTAAACTTTGGCGTCTTGCTCGAGAATATTTGATTTAAACTTTGTTGTTTTGTTTTAGAAAACTCGGATGACATCCATATTCTGCTAAAAGTATTTTAGTAATTGTCGCCTTGTGCGACTGGTCCTGATGGTTAGACGACCTTATATTTGCTATTTATTTTGGGGGTCTTACAGGGTGTGCTATTGTTGGTCTATGTTGTGTTCTGGCCTGTGTAAGATTGGGACCGAATGCTTGACTAGATCCGATTTGTTTGTTTTGCTGCCATGTGTTGATTTTGACCACCTTATATTGGTTATTTGAAGCCATATTAACTCGTCTAAACTAGTTTTGCTCATTTATTGTTACTGGCCCTGATGGTCTGTTTTGTGTAATTTAATACGCGTATATTTTGTTTGGTGGGTTATTCTTAGGTTGTTGCATGATGTTTGAGATGAGGTACGGGTTCCAGCCCGCGCTTAGACTGGTACAAGCATCTTAGTAGGGCAGTTAACCGACCCCCCCCCCCGCCCCATCTCTCACCCCTTAGTCCGGTTTTTGTTTCGCGAATATTATTGTTAGCGGTTAGGCAGTTACTTTTGTTGATATTTATTACTATTTTGATAGTGCCCTGCCAGTTTTTTTTAATTTGAGTGTTATTAGATTTTATCTGTCTGGTTTCATAAATACACTTTATGCTGTTATGGTATGTTGTTGTTAAGTTTGGGTTGTTTCTATCTAGGAATTCCGATTATATTTTGGGGGATCCAATATCTGTTTGTGCATTTTGGAACTTATTTCTGGCTAACTGATGTTGTGGGCATTCATTAAATATATGCTTGAGGTCTTCGATGGCGCGGCAGTGGTAACAGTTAATGTTTGGGGATTTGTTCCTAAATGCTTACCAAAGCTGCCGTCAAGCTTTGTTTTACAAGTTAGAATTCTGTCTATTATTCTTTAGTCTGAGCTGTTAACTAAAGTTGGTTTGATGGACCTGACTTTTTCTCTAAGGGTGAAGTATAGTCTTCTCCATTTCATGGATGTACTCCAGTACTCTTGCCACTTATTATTGATAAATATTTTAGCAAGATTATGTGCTTCTGTTATGCTGTATTTTAGTGGTTCAATGGCTGGGTAATTTAGTTTATTTTTAGCGATTTTGTCCACCAGTTCGTTACCAGAGATTACTGTATGCAACGGTATCCACGTGAATTCGATGGCTTGTTTTCTAGTGGATAGTTCTTTAAGGAGTTGGTATGTCTTATCAAGGAAGGTCTCCCTAGATATGGTGTTGCGTGGTTTTTATACTGGGTTGTTTTTGTATGTTATTATCTTTGATCCAACTTAATGACTTAATAATTTCCCATAATTCAGTTGTGTACGTGGAGCAGTGGTCCGGTAATCTTGATCCCATTTGAATATTGAATTCTGGGATTACCACTGCTGCTGCTGTTCAGGGTGGTTGAGGTTCATTTGGCCCATCCGTATATATTTTAACGAAGCTAGAGCAGGTGTCTAGTATGTTCATTGTAATTGTGGATTTTAGTTTGTGATCCTTTTCCAATTAGTTACCATATTCGGTGGCTTTGGAGTTAATCCTTGGTTTTGGGGTTGTCCAAGGGTTTGTGTGTGTGTGTGTGTGTGTGTGTGTGTGTGTGTGTGTGTGTGTGTGTCCCTCCTGTTGGTTCAAACGCGTAGATGTAAGACTTCATTTTATTGGTTAATAAAATTGTCAATTCTGGCAATAACATAGGTTATCAGCACATGAACCCTAAGAGGATGCTGTCAGATCATCATGAATAGACGTGAAGAGCTGATCAGCTTGTGTCCAGCAGCAACCACCAATTAGAAGAGTACATTGGTCCTGACGGACGTACATCTTGCAGAAGAGAAAGACATGTATAATGAACTTTCGGCACGAGGACGCAAGGAAACCACAAGGTACAGAAAACTTTTGGAGTGACATGGGGGCACCCTAGCGTCAAGGGGACTTAAGTGTTAATAAAAGGGTATATCCACTCTGGCGTCAAGGACAATATAACATGGGGAAATTTAACACGGGTGGGACTATAGAGCGACGAGACATTGGGACTGTATAAGCGATTTAGTCTCAATGGGACTTTAGTGTTAAATTTGGGTGTTTGCCCTTTGGCCTCAAGGGAAATTTATCATGGGGGAATTTAACTTGTGTGAGACTATAGCGGCTCAAGGAATTGAGACTGTCTTTCCTCAAGGGATTGGGCATGTCTAGGGGCGATAGAGGGATAAGGGAAAATTTAACATAGGTTGGGACTGTATAGGTACAAGGGGAACTGATCGTAAGGAATGTATAGCGACAATGAATGAGAATGTCTAGAGACAAGGGGAATTGAATATAGGACTATCTAGGGACAAGGGAACCTAACATAGATGGGCCTGTATCGAGACAATGGGAAAGTTGTATAGGGGACTTAACATAGATGGGCCTGTATCGAGACATTAGGAAAGTTGTATTGGGCTTATGTATGGACAAGGATGGTAGAAAGCCCAAACAACAGAGACATACATATACTAATACAAGCCCGATATATATATATATATATATATATATATATATATATATATATATATATATATATATATATATATATATATATATATATATATATATATATATATATAAAGCATTACCTTGACCTGAAATTAAATTTTTTCCTGCAAGTTAGTTTGGGGCTAATAGGTTGTAAAACATAATCTTCATGAAACAACAAACACATTTCTTTCTTCACTGGTCTTGTTGATTCTTTGATCCTATCAGATTTGCCACCATTTTTTCTCTCTGAACCTCTCAGTCCCTCTCTGTAGTTGATGTAAATGATGTTGAATATGAGGTAATCATATCTTCTTCAAAATCGCTTGCACAAACTTCAAAGACACAATTGGAAAGTATTGTGTGACACGAATCGATATTTGTTGCTTAGGTCTACTTTCTCCTTGGAAATGTATCAAACTACTTTATACACTACTCTTTATATGTAATGGATAGTATTTTTGTGGTGTAGGGGATAGATATTTTGTGAGATTTCATCTTCTTCTCTTACATTCTAAGCAGACACGAGGCATTTTTGTTTTATTCTTAATAAAAAACATATCACTAAACACAAAAATAGTGATTATGTGTCTTTTTCTTTGTTTGTGTATGTGTGCGCGCGTACGTTTGTGTGAATGTATTTATTTGTTTAAAAAACTTTTTCCTAAACACAAAAATAGTGATCGCGTGTGTGTTTATTTTTGTTTGTCTGCGTGCGCGTGCGCGTGCGTGTTCGTGTGTGCGTGTATTTTTTGTGTTTGTGTTGTGTGCGTACGTGTGTGTGAGTGTGTATGCATTTTTGTTTGTCTCTATAAACTCCCTTTGTCCCTATCAAATTAATTTTACCTACCTACCTACCTACCTATAGTAGCGCATACTCAGGTCAGCCACTTGCAACAATGTTGTCATTTTTCTCCTAGTGTCCAGTATGGCGACGACATTGAAAGTAGAAATTTTAAGGCTTTAAATATAGACTTGGGTTTTTCAACAGAAATTTCCATAGGCTTTAGCTATAAATACAAATGGAATTTCCACAAGGTGTGACTATAAATAGATAAAGAGTTTTTCATAGAAATTTCCATAGGTTGTAGCTATAAATAGATACATGAGTGTTTATATGTGATCGTCACACAAGACGAGACTTTAAATAGTTACTAGGTTTATCCGTTTTACTCTAAACCTAATGTTTAGGGATGTTTAGTCTTGGTTAGAGTCTGGGACAATTTAGTAATTTTAGCGTTACTTTTAGTCACATCCATTTTGGCGTTGTTTTTTTTTTTTTTTTTTTTCTTGATTAGACTGCTCCGGTGGCCTAATGGCTAGAGCGTCCGCCTCAAATGCAGGAATTCGTGGGTTTTATCCCCAGCCGAGTCATACCAAAGACTTAACAAATACGGTTCTAACAGCTGCCTCGCTTGGAGTTCAGCATTAAGAGGTCAGTGTTAAGACTGGTCGGCCTGGTGTCAGGATAATGTGACTACTTGGGACATGATGCTACATACCTGCGGCATGATGCCCCAGTGATAGACATCATTATAAACTGTCAAACTGCAGATTTCATAGCGATATGACTGAACAATTGTTAAAGTTACGTTAAAAATATAAATCACATCGCACACCACACACTTTTCTTTGATTATATCTATTTATAGCATCATTACAATTATGCAAATTTATGAACACCGCCAACATAATTTCAGGTCTAGGTAATGCTTTATATATGAATCACGGGCTTGTATTGGTATATGTCTGGGGGAGGAGGTAGCTGCCTTTGAAGAGGACGGACCTGTTTAACAGGATCTCCAGGAGAACAAGGAACAGAGGACAAAGGAAACAGAAGAAAGAAGAAACAGACAGGAAGAAAACGGAAGAAAAGTAGACACAAGTAATAATCAAATTCTTTTACACACGATATATCGTAAAAGAAAATGGTCAGCCGAAGAAAGAAGATTGCTACAATAATTTTGCTGCTGTTTTAACAGCAGCGTAGTGAAATAGGGTTAGTCAAAATGCCTTACACAGAGCTCACTTTGGCAAGAGCTCTTTTTCGGTTAACAACTACTCTTTTGGCCCTTGAAGGGATGATTGAAAAAAAATGTATAATTCGCCGTCAAACCAAATTAAGATCACTGAAATGCACAAGGTAGCTTATACCTTCCAAATTTGACTCAATTTTTGGAACTGCAGGTACGCATAGTACACAAAAACATAATACTACTATTTAGTAGGAAAATACACAACTCATATTCATTCGACTCGTATGTGGCTTACACATGTTTGGCTATGATAGGGGACTCCCACCCCCAATAGGCAACGGGCAGAAACAGGAACTTAACTTAGTGGGCGGAAGCCGCATCCATTGCCGACACCGTCAAATCAAGGAAACCTGGGAACCAACGATCAAGGATGAGGAAAGGCAGTAGGAAGCTCCCTGGGCCACATTAAAATAATGTGAAAAGGTTACACTTTCAAAGCCAAAATATGTGGACCCAGAGTAGGACAGACACAATGAAGAGGATCTCAACATACAAGAATAAAGGAATCAACTACGGTACCGCCCTTTGCTGGATCCATTCCTTTGCCTTTTCTGAGCTCGGGGGTCGAGGCAGTGTGACTGTATCTATGACGATCATAAGGTCTGTTTTAAGGTTGGCAGAATAAAGGTCAAGCACTAGACCAAAAGCCCTGCCCGTGGGCTGAGTGCCTCCCTAGATTAGCAACATTATCGAAAAGATGATGTCCGGCTTAGGTGGTAAACCATCTAGGGGGGTTATTACGCCCATGCGCCGGGGCACAAAAAGTGTCGAGCTCTGAGACACGGGTGAGCCCTGCCTCGGAAGGAGGGAAGGCCGCTAGCCCTTTTCAGGGCTTTAACCAGTCATAATACACGAGAGTGGAAACATGACTATAATAACAGACAGTGCAGTTGGTATACGTCTGTCTATGTCTCTGTTGTGTTTGGCCCTTTTCTATCTTTGTTCCTAGATAGGACTTATAATATTTCCTCATTGGTTATAGACAGGCCATCCATAGTCAAGGTGCCTAGTCCCTACATAGCTCCATATTCAATTCCTCTTACCCTATAACCTGTGTTAAACTTTCCTTTACCCCGCCATATTCCCGGGACAGACCCAATCCTTTGACGAAAGACAGGCCAAATCCAGACAGTCACAACTCCTTCGGACACAAGTATTTTAAAATTCCCATGTTAAATTCTCCATGAGGTTAAATGGCAAGCACCCAAAATTTAACATTGAGGCTAAATCGCTTATATTGAGATTAGACAGGTCCAATCCCTTGACGCTAGACAGGCCCCAATCCTTGTCTCTTTATAGTCCCACAAATGTTAAATTTGTCCCATGTTAAATTCCCCTTGATGCCAGAGTGGATATATCCTTCTCCCACATCTGTGTACATCCTAGTTATTATAATAACTTTTTAGAATAAAACTTTGCATGCTCCTGAATAATTCTAATTTAATAGTGTTGTCTTCCGGCTCCAGAAAAGAAGTATTTCGTTAATATATGATTTGTGTAATGGCATAATATTTTAAGCTGGTTCCCAACTTTTGAAAGATTCATCATATAGTTTCCATTTGATGCGTTCATACCTGTTACCGTTCATTCTTGAGGCCTTCAGGATATTCCATGTCATCCTGATTTTTGTTGCATACATAGATACAGGTTTTCTAAATCATACTCTCTGTATTATCTTCGTTCATAAAGCGTCTGACATTAAGGATTTCCTCTGTAAAATTAGAGATGTTGCCTTTGCAGAAGTTTAGCTTTGCATTTTGTACGTTTGCTTCAGCCATTTTAAAGTGAGATATTCTAAATATATCAATTTTCGCATAACTGAATAAACAGGTCCATATTTTGTTATTTGTTTTCCTCTTTGCTTGTGTAATCTCTTAATATATGCCGAGTGTTATGAATTTCCCATGTAGTTATTTTGGTTAAACCTTTTTCTTGCTTCATTTTGAATGAAATTAAATCATATTGATAAAGTGTATATCCATTGGTGTCTTTTTCTTATGTTTGCATGTCAACAATGTCTGCCTGACATATACTCTTCAGGGAAATACTCGCTTGCTTGTTTAATGTGTATGTAGACTGTTAAGCTAACCATTTCTTCAATTAAGCGTATTTTTAAAATTAATATTCGTTTCAAAACATCGGGACTTTCAGGAACGTTGCAAAAATATTTTAAAATACTGGTTTTGTTATAACTTTAATAGAAAAAATGTCTAGAATATACTTTATGCTTGATAAATTGTCTTCAGGTGTTTTCATTTAAAACAGCTTTTCTTTCAACGATCTGCAATGCTCTTTCAATCCTTCCCAATGTATGAATGATTTCACATTGTTAAAGTTTGCTATTGTATCTACAGCAGTACGTTATCTACTGACTCTTCAGCGTTGCTCTAAATCAAATTGTTTTTCCTTAAGTTTTATTAATATTTTTGTTGAATAATTTCCCACTTGCCTTGTACATTTTATGATATCTTCAAATTGTGCTATACATTAGGCCGAATATAAATGTGTATTTATCAACATCAACCCCAAGGCTTCCTGGTCCGGTCTATTTTCAAATTGATTTCTAATGTTTTCGTATCTCATATACCGAAAATAAACGCACATAAATTCTAGTTGTCAAACTACACTACCAACTCAAAGATCTTAATAATAATAATATTGAAATAATTTGCGACAATAAAGACGAGTTATTGCAGACCATCCCAAGTGTTATATAAAATTTAAACAAGTGGTCCTATGAAGTTAAATTTAAATTGATCTATAAATGAGACATATAAACCATGACCTTTATACTCAGATGGTCGTTGTGACAGTTTTGAATAAATAATAATAATAATAATAATAATAATAATAATAATAATAATAATAATAATAATAATAATAATAATAATGATGATGATGATGATGATGATGATGATGATGATGATGATGATGATGATGATGATGATGATGATGACAACAACAACAACAGCAGTAGTAGTAGTTGTTGGAGTAGTAGTAGTAGTAGCTGTAGTGCGTGATTTTTGTTAAGTTCTTCTGGCGGTAACGTTTCTGTTTACAATCCGTTAGAAAACTGCCCGTAACAAGACATTTTCCCTAAATGATCACTAGCAAAAGGTTCCTATTTTAATTAGAGCGGCAGAGGTCTAGTGGACCAGAAGCATGCCATCGAATCAACCCAGATCGCTACCCCAGTGTGTTCTTGGGTGCCTTAGCAAAACCCAACCTTCGATGTGTTGATGTGCCAAAAAACACCAGTCTAAATAGCCAAACTATCTTAATAGAATGTTGACTTATACATAATATAACAAAACTTCAAAAAATTATGCGGGCAAACATTTTAATTTTCGAGTTTTTCGAGATGGCATTCACCAGAATGTGCTAATTGTAGCTGAGCGAGTCATTCTAGTGACGCTAGATGTTTGAGTGATTGATGCTTAAATTGCCAAAGGTTTACTGTAAATATGTACAATAAATATTTGGACATAGTTGTAAATAATATTACCGATAATAATAACAATGATAATGACAACGATAATAATAATAATAATAATAATAATAATAATAATAATAATAATAATAATAATAATAATATTGTTCTAATTAAGATTTCAATATGAAATACTGATGAAAATGGTCGGATTTAGAAAATACAAATTCTCATCTCACCCGCTTTACTTGATTTGCCAAATCCTTTCCGTTTTAACGTCATGTCAGTGCTACCGCCAGAGGCCATTTTCATTCTTTTAGATGCAACTACCTTGAATTTGCACGTCACTGCATTAGAGGAAATGTAAAACCGGTCGAATTGTCAACAGTTTCCCACGAAACCTTCATCAACAGAATATTGAAATGTTTTCCTTCAATATCTAGAATCAATGATGTGATGTCATAAACATGGGCGTGGTTTCACTAAGTCAGCACTAACACCAACTTTTGCAAAGGGTTCATATCGCAGTGATTGTCCTATAACGTAGTAATGGTCTGCATATGTATGGTACAGTCTACCCATCAGAACACTCTTATTAGAGTTTCACCAGCGATCCAATTGCAATGAATATTTCACATAATCTTTATTATATGTACGTAAAAATTATATAGTGTCTGATATCATTTCAACACGCGGAATGCAGTTCATTGCACGGTCATATTAACATATTTACAATCATACATTCAAATGCGCGTTCTTCTTGTTTATCCGCTACAGAGAGCAATTTAATGGTAGTATTCTCTATGTGACGAAATTTCCAAAAAATCTCTAGAAAACACATCAATGTGGAAGATTCTTTCAGAAATATTAAACGGAAATCCGTTCGTCTTTAATATCAAGAAAAACGT